CTATCTCTCAAATAAATAAAATCTTAAAAAATAAATAAATTAAAGGGGGCGCCTAGCTGGCTCAGATGGTTGAAAGTCTGCCTTTGGCTCAGGTCATGATCTCAGGGTCCTGGGATCAAGTCCCACACTGGGCTCCATGCTCAGCAGTGAGTCTGTTTCTTCCTAACCCTCTGCCCCCCCATCTGCTTGTTGTGCTCTCTCTCAAATAAAAAAAATCTTAAAAAAATAATATAAAGAACATGTGAGACAACTTCATTCCTAAGTTGCATCAGGAAATTAATGCTGCAATACTCTGGAATTAATAGCTGTAAATATGGGGTGCCTGGGTGGCTCAGTGGGTTAAAGCCTCTGCCTTTGGCTCAGGTCATGATCGCAGGGTCCTGGGATCGAGCCCCGAGTAGGGCTCTCTGTTCAGCGGGAAGCCTGCTTCCTCCTCTGCCGCCTTTCTGCCTACTTGTGATCTCTGTCAAATAAATAAAATCTTGGGAAAAAAAAATAGCTGTAAATGTATAATGAGAATATAGCTCATTGCTGAAGAAGTAGAAAAAGGTATGATGCAGTTTGCAGTTAAGTCCAAATAACAGGTATTCTGTAATCTACACTTCTTTTTTTTTTTTTTTTTTTTTTTTTTTTTATTAAAGATTTTATTTATTTATTTGACAGAGAGAGATCACAAGTAGACAGAGAGGCAGGCAGAGAGAGGGAGGGAAGCAGGCTCCCTGCTGAGCAGAGAGCCCGATGCGGGACTCGATCCCAGGACCCTGGGATCATGACCTGAGCCGAAGGCAGCGGCTTAACCCACTGAGCCACCCAGGCGCCCTGTAATCTACACTTCTTATTAGAAATTATCAAAAGGATAACAGGAGGAAAACTGCCCATTAAACTTCCCCATCTTGTCACTATGAAAACTTAGAAACACAGAAAAGTTGAAAAGGATAATGAACATGCATTTACCATCCAACCCCCACCCAGTTTAAAAGCTAACAGTTCGTCATATTTGCTTTATCTTCCTATAATTTTCTACATAATCATAATATAATCACACCTTCTAAAATATGTCAAATGATGCCTGTTCAAATTTTCCCAGTTGTCCCGGACTGACTTTAATAGCTATTTTTCTTTTTATCTAGAATCAAGTCTAAGTTTATAAATTACATTTAGTTGATATCTCTCTTTTAGTCTAATTTGATTCTCTACCTTTATTCCTTTTTTCCATGATGCTGGGTTTTTCTTCTTAGAGTCCATGCTTAGAGTTGTCTTGTAGGGTATTCCATATTTTGGATTGTTGCGCTTGTTTCCTAATGTCATTTAACTTATTCTGCCATCTACATTAGAAATTAAGTGTAGAGGGGCACCTGGGTGGCTCAGTGGGTTAAAGCCCCTGTCTTTAGCTCAGATCATGATCCTGGGGTCCTGGGGTCAAGCCCTGCATTGGGCTTTCTGCTCTGTGGGGAGCCTGCTTTCTCCTTCTTTCTCTGCCTGCCTCTCTGCCTGCTTGTGATCGCTGTCAAATTAAAAAAAAAATTATGAAAATTAAAAAAAAATTAAGTGTAGAGAAAAGATTGAGTTTGGGCTAAATAATTTTGCAAGACTATTTCATAAATATGTTAAATATTTTGTATTGTCATATATTAAGAGGCACATATTGATACCATGAGGCTAAATTTGATCATATGGTTAAGGTGATGACTGTCAAATTGTGTGTGTGGGTTTTTTTTTTTTTTTTTTTTAAAGATTTTATTTACTGGGGCGCCTGGCTGACTAACTTGTTAAGCATCTGCCTTCGGCTCAGGTCATGATCCCAGATCCTGGGATTGAGCATCTGCATCTTTTCTTTTTTTTTTTTTTTTAAAGATTTTATTTATTTGACATATTTTTTAAAAAAAAGATTTTTAAAATTTATTTGACAGAGAGAGACACAGTGAGAGAGGAAACACAAGTAGTGGGAGTGGAAGAGAGAGAAGCAGGCTTCCTGCTGAACAGGGAGCCTGATGTGGATCAGGGATCATGACCTGAGCCCATGGCAGATGCTTAACAACTGAGCCACCCAGGTGGCCCTGTCAGATTTCTTATTTTAAAGGTCCTTTTTAATCCTTACAATTAGAAAGTAATCTGTGAAATAATTCTAACCACCTCTTGGAAATTTACATTTTGTTTGATTCAAAGGGAATACCAGAGTTGAAATAGGATAGCATTCAGATATGAGTGATAATGTTGCTATATATCAAAACCTGCAGGAGGTGATCAAAGTCATTTTTGGAAAGTCATCTTGTGGGAAGTTAGTACTCTTTAATAAATGCAGGAGATGAGAATTTAGGGCCAGAATTTTGATTTGCTTAACAGTCACTGTCTAGCAATTGATTTTTGCCCCACATGATTACACTTATAATCCTAGTTTTAATACAGTGTCTTTCACATAGTGGAGAGTTGTTGATAAGCTGTCAAAGCAGTCCAAGCTTAAGAATCTAGGAAAGGAACAGATTACCCTAAATCCAGCAGAAGGAAACCATTCATACAGTTAGAAGTTAATGGAGGAAGAATAAAACATCTATTTTCTGTGGAAAAAACACTGATCTAAACTAGACTTATAGGTTTGATCAATGTAAAGATGAGAAATACAACAGCTTTAATAAGGTGAGATACATATATTTATGGAGAGTTTTAAAATAGCATGGTAATATTATGTACATAAAATATTTTTTTCAAATTGACAAAGTAGAAATTGGCCTGGTCTAATAAATATAGTGGGAAAATGAAAATTTGGCTCAAAATCTCTCTTTAAAAAAAAACTTAAATAGGAGCGCTTGGGTGGCTCAGTGGATTAAAGCTTCTGCTTTAATAATGCGATGGGTCATGGGCTCAGGGTCCTGGGATCCACAGTAAAGTATGTCACAATAAAGAGAATCAAATGAATTTTTTGGTTTCCCAGTGCATATGTTATATTTACACTACACTGTTGTATGTTAAATGTGTGATAGCATTGTGTAAACAAACATACATACCTTAATGAACACCTTATTACTAAAAAAATGCTAATCATCATCTGAGCTTTCAGTGAGTCATAATCACTAATGACAGATCACTACAACAAATATAATAGTAATGAAAATTTTGACATATTGTAAGAATTACCAAAGTATTACACAGAGACACAAAGTGAGCAAATACTGTTGGAAAAATTTTTTGCCACAAACCTTCGATTTGTAAAGAATGCCTGATCTGGGGCACCTGGGTGGCTCAGTTGGTTAAGCGGCTGCCTTCAGCTCAGGTCATGATCCCAGTGTCCTGGGATCGAGTCCTGCATCGGGCTCCCTGCTGGGCAGAGAGCCTGCTTCTCCCTCTCCCTCTGCCTGCTGCTCTGCCTACTTGTGCTCTCTAACTCTCTGTCAAATAAATAAATAAAATCTTTAAAAAAAAAAAGAATGCCTGATCTGCAAAGCTCAATAAAATGACGTATGCCTGTAATCCCACAAAAAGGATAAACTTCTGAAACCTTTGCTGAGACAGACTGTAATAAAACTACTGAAAATCAAAGGAAAAAAAATCTTGAGAGCTTTTAATGGAATACTGATGCATTACATATAGAACAATAACTTTAATAACACAATTTCTCATCAGAAAATGAGCATGCTATGGGTAGGTGGAATAACTTTACTTTAAGTACTAAGTACTTTACTTAGTACTGCCCCCCTGCCTCCTCACTCCCAATTTGTGTTCTCTTTCTTTCTCAAATAAAATCTTAAAAATAAATAAATAAATAAAAGTTTCCACACAGAAAAATAAATAAAATGAGAAGTTAACCAATAGACTTGAGAAAATATTTGTAAACCATCTACCTGGATAAGGAATTAATATCTAAAATATAAGGAACTCATACAACTCAATAGCAGATAACCTCAAACAGCAAAAATCTCAATAGTAAAAAATAGGCAAAGGACCTGACTAAATACCTTTCCAAAGAAGACATGCAAATAGCCAACATGTACATGAAAAGGTGATCAACATCACTAATCATCGGGAAAATGCAAATTAAAATCAGTATTAGATATTACCACATACCTGTTAGAAAAGTATTATCAGAAAGGCAAGACTTAACGGTGTTGGTGATGACATGGAACAAAGGGATCCCTTGTACCTCATTGGTGGGAATGTAAATTGGTACAGCTACTATAGAAAACAATATGGAAAGGCATCAAAAAAGTAAAAATAGTATTATATGATCCAGCAATTCCATTTCTGGGTATATATCCAAAGGAAATAATATAAAGATCTCAAAGAGATCTGCACTGCCACGTTCACTGCAGCAGTAGTCACAATAGCCAAGATACAGAAAAAAGTAGACATCTGTAGATGAATATATTAAGAAGATGTGGTATATGTATACACTCATAAATACAATGGAGTAGTATTCAGCCATGAGAAAAGAATTTCTGCCATTTTTGGCAACATGGATGGACCCTGAGTGCATTATGCAAGTGAAATAAGTCAGAGAAAGAAAAATACTGTATGATCTCACTTATATGTAGAATTGAAAAATGCCAAACTCAGAAACAGAGTGAGAATGGTGGTTGCCAGGGGCTTAGGGATGGGAAAAGTGGGGAGATATTCGTCAAAGGGTACAAATTTCTGGATATAAGATGAATAAGTTTTGGGAAGCTAATGTACAGCATGGTGACTACAGTTAATACTGAATTATATAATTGATATTTTCTAAGGAAGTAGATTGTTTTCACCACAACCTAAAAAGGTAATTATATGGAATGATGGAGGTGTCAATTAACCCTCTTTGGTAATCATTTCATATACATATATCAAATAATCACATTGTATACCTTATCCAATGTTATATGTCAGTTATACCTTGGTAAAGGTGGGGAGATATATATATATATATGTATTATAAAATAAATGCACAAAGCAAAAATTGATAAACTGAAAGAAGTAAATAAATCTACAATTAATGTGGAAGATTTTAATATTTATCTCTTACCTATTGATAGATCAACAGACAAGAGATCAAGGTACAGAAGACTTCCATGCCATCTAAACGACATCTATAGATTGACAGCAGAGTATGTATTCTTTTCAGTTGCATGTGGAATATTCACCATGATAAACAATATTCTGGATAAACTAAATCTTCATAAATGTAAAAGAACTAAAATCATGCCAAGCATTTTCCTTACCAGCATTGAATTATATTAGAAAAAAATAACAAAGATACTTAGCAAGTCCACAAATACTTAAAAATTAAACAACTGACATGTAATTAATCCATGAGCCAAACAGGAAGTCTCAAATGAAATTGGAGGATATTTTCAACTGAACAAAAGTAGAAATACAGGATATTAATTTATTTTTTTTAAAGACTTTATTTATTTATTTGACAGAGAGAGGGAGAGATCACAAGTAGGCAGAGAGGCAGGCAGAGAGAGGAGGAAGCAGGCTCACCGCTGAGCAGAGAGCCCGATGCGGGGCTCGATCCCAGGACCCTGAGATCATGACCCGAGCCAAAGGCAGAGGCTTAACCCACTGAGCCACCCAGGTGCCCCAGGATATTAATTTATAAGATACAGCCACAGCAGTACCAAGAGGGAAATTCTTTTTTTTTTTTTAAGATTTTATTAATTTGTTGGAGAGAGAGAGAGAGAGGCTCAAGCAGGGGGAGTGGCAGGCAGAGGGAGAAGCCAGTTCCTCGCTGAGCAAGGAGCCTGACACAGGACTTGATCCCGGGGTCCTGCGATCATAACCTAAGCTGAAGGCAGACACTTAATGGACTGGGCTGCCCAGGCATCTCCCAAGAGGGAAATTTTTAGCAACCAAATGGGTTGGTATCAGAGTAAGTGTAATATGGTCAAGATCTTCACCACCACCCAGGCTAACTAGGCCACACTCTTTTCTATGGTGAATATGGAGGGCAAATGAGCAGTAAAGAGGTATTCCTACCTCACCCATCCAGGTAGGTATAAAACGGAGGCCGATAGGGTGCCAGAACTATACTCACACATAATAGTAAGGAGGACTCCTCCATCCCCCGTCAGTGGAGACTGAATCTCCCACCTGCACAAGATGGCACATCCCCTTCCCATGTGAGTGGAGTCAGAGAATGCCAGCTTAAACAAGGTTTAGATATGATTGAAATCTTAACACAAAATGTTTACACTTCAACTGAAAATCCATCATGATACCAAGAACCAGGAAAATCTCAAAATGAGTGAAAAAAAGATATTCAAAAGAGTACCAAGATGACAGAGATGTTAGAATTGTCTCATAAATACATCAAACTTCATAAAAATGCCTGAAACAAATGTACTTGAAACAAAAGAAAAAACAAATCTCAGCAAAGAAATGTGAAGTCCAGAAAAGAAAACAGAAGATGTAAAAAAGAAACAAAGGAAAATTAACTGAAAAGTATGATAATGGAAATAAACTTAATAGATGTGCTAACAGCAGAAATGGAGGAGACAGAGAAAGGAACAGAACAACAGAAATTACCCAATCTGAACCACAGAAAATAGACTGAAAAAAGAGTGAAAGAAAACTCAGGAACCTGTGAGACTATAATACAAGATCTAACATTCCTAACATTGAAGTCCTGGAAGGAAAAAATACGGGTTGAAAAAGGACTCAAAGAAATAATGACTGAAAATTCCCCCAATTTGGCAAAGACCATAAACAGATTCAAGAGTAACTGAGTAACAAGACTCCTCTCCAACCCCCACCCCCAGTCAATATCATGTTATATCACAGTCAAACTTCTGAAAACTGAGGACTAAATAAAAATCTTGAAAGTCAGAGAAACACCACCTTACATTTGGAGAGGGAAATCCAAACAAAACAGATTTCTCATAAGAAACCATAGAGGCCAGAAGAAGTGGTACATTTGAAAGCACTGAAGGAAAGAATTCCAAATTCCAAATCCTCTATCCAGCAAAAACAAAATCAAATATAAAAAAACCCCAAACAGAAATATATACCTATATCTATATCTATCTATCTTTTTATCTCATTCAAGCATAAAGGGAACCAGTATCATCAGTCATTAGGAAAATGCAAATCAAAGCCACAATGAGATAACCGCTTTATAACCACTGAAATGGCTATAATTAAAAAAATAATAATCAATGGCAAGGATGTGGAGAAACCCTTAAATGGTGAAGCTGTAGAAAACATGGCAGTTCCTCCAAAAAATTAAATATATAATTATCATACAGTACAACAATTACAAATGAATTTAAAGTAGGGACTAGAACAGATACTTTTATGTCAATGTTCATGGCAGCATTATTCATAAAAGCTAAAAGGTAGAAGCAACCCAGATGTCAATTATTGGATGAAAGGGAAAATAAAATGTGGTATATACATACAATGGATGTGTTATTTGACCTTTAGTAGGAATTAAGTTCTGACACATGCAACATGGATAACGGTTGGAAATACTATGCTAGGTGAAAGAAGCCAGACACAAATAGACAAATATATGATTCCATGATATGAGGTACCTGGAGCAGTCAAGTTCATAGAGAAAGAAAGTAGAATAGTAGTTACCACTGGCTGGGAGGAAATGGTAATAGGGAGTTAATGTTTGATGAATACCAAGTTTCAGTTAGGGATGCTGAAATATTGGAGATGGATAGCGGTGATGGTGGTAAAACAGTGTGAATATATTTAATGCCACTGAATTGTACATTTAAAAATTGTTAAAGTGGTAAATCTTACATTAAGTATATTTTGCCACAATTAAAAAAATATTTTTTTATTTTTCTTTTTTCTTTTTTTTTTTTTAAGTTTATTTATTTATTTATTTGAGAGACAGAGTGTGAGAGTGGAGAGTTCAGAGGGAGAGCAGACTCACTGCCAAGCAGGGAGCCCGATGTGGGACTCGATCCCGGGACTCCAGGATCATGACCTGAGCCGAAGGCAGTTGCTTAACCAACTGAGCCACCCAGGCATCCCTAAAAAAATATTTTAAAAAATATGCTGTCACCAAGAAACATACTTCAGATATAAAGATACAGGGAAGTTGAAAGTAATAGAATAGAAAAGGGTATATTATGCAAACATTAATCAAAGAAAACCAGGGGTGGCCTATCTTAAAAATATACTTCTGGGGGTACCTGGGTGGCTCAGTGGGTTAAAGCCTCTGCCTTCGGCTCAGGTCGTGATCCCAGGATCCTGGGATCGAGCCCCGCATCGGGCTCTCTGCTCGGCAGGGAGCCTGCTTCCTCCTCTCTCTCTGCCTGCCTCTCTGCCTCCTTGTGATCTCTCTCTGTCAAATAAATAAATAAATAAATAAATATTAAAAAAAAAAAAAATATACTTCTAAATAATCCATGGGTCAAAGAGGAAGTCTCAAAACCATGTTGAACTGATTATGGTTTGGGAACCTAATTTTGGAAATAAATGCTACATATATAAATTGGTATATGGTAAAAACCATGATTTATTTTAGTGAATGATAGCCAGAGATACTTATCTGAATTTTAAAAATGAGATGTTAGTGAAAATGGTATTTTCATCAGAAAGAATACTCTCTATTGATAAATAAGTGAACCATAAGCACTTGTAAAATACTGCTTTGGTTATTTAATTTTTCTAAGTAAGAAAATTTGAAATTATTCATAGAAAAAAGACATTGAAATGAATGAAAATAAAACTGAGTGAAAATTAAGAAAACTGTATCAAAATGTGTAGGAGGCAGATGAAGCAGGATGAAAGGGGAATTCATAGCACTAAGTGCATATATTAGAAAAGAGGAAAATTCTCAAATTGTTAATCTAACTTCCCAAAACAGGACTTAGAATAGAAAATAATGGAAAATAAACAGAAGAAAGAACAAATCAAGGTAAGAACAGAAATCAATGAAATTGAAAACACAGGGGCACCTGGGTACCTCGGTGGGTTTAAGCCTCTGCCTTCACCTCAGGTCATGATTTCAGGGTCATGGGAACAAGCCCCGCATCGGGCTCTCTGCTCAGCAGGGAGCCTGCTTCCCTCTCTTTCTCTGCCTGCCTCTCTGCCTACTTGTGATCGCTCTGTCAAATAAATAAATAAATAAATAATATTTAAAAAAAAAGAAGAAGAAGAAGAAGAAAGAAAACTCACTTAAAAAAAAGAATGAGGGGTGCCTGGGTGGCTCAGTGGGTTAAGCCTCTGCCTTCGGCTAGGGTCATGATCTCAGGGTCCTGGGATCGAGAGCATTGGGCTCTCTGCTCAGCAGGGAGCCTGCTTCCCCCCCCACCCCCACCTGCCTCTCTGCCTACTTTTGATCTCTGTCAAATAAATAAAATCTTTAAAATAAAAAAAGAAAGAAAGAAAACATAAAAACAATAGGATGGGGCACCTATGTGGCTTAGTCTTTAAGCATCTGCCTTCGGCTCAGGTCATGATCCCCGGGTCCTGGGATCAAACCCCGCACTGGGCTCCCAGCTCTGCAGGAAGCCTGTTTCTCCCTCTCACACTCCACCTGCTTATGTTCTCTCTGTCAAATAAATAAATAAAATCTTATATATATATTAAAAAAAGGTGTCTTCAAAAAAACAATAGGAAAAATCACTGAGATTAAGAGCTTGTTCTTGGGGAAGATCAATAAAATTGACAAACTTCTAGAAATAACACCACCACTAAAAAACCCTAAAGACACAGATTACCAATACCCATGTGAAATAGCAGATATCACTACATTGCAGACATCGAAAGGATAAGAGAATACTGATTAACAATTCTGCACATAAATATGACAACTTAGATGAAATGAACTTGAATCACAAATCTACCACAATGTACCCAATATGAAATAATGCGAATGGCCAAAATACTGTTAAGGAAATTTAATCTGTAATCTATAACACATTCACCAAAAAGAAACCTCCAGGGTCAGATAATTTCATCTGAGAATTTTGCCAAATGTTTAAAGAACACAATCTCTTCCAGAAAACAGAATACTAATATTACCTTGATGCTGAAGACACAGACAGTATAGAAGAAAAAATATGCAGTCCGCTATACATTATGAATATAGACACAAAAAAATCCTTAAACATTAACAAAGAGAATTCAATATTATATAAAAAGAATTTTACATGACCAAATGGGGTTTACTCCAGGGATTCAATGCTGGTTCAATATTTGAAAATCAGTTAAGGTAATCTACCATTTCAACAAACTAAAGGAAGAAAAAAAAAATCACAAATCAACATTTGACCAAATTCAACTCTGATTCATGGTAAAAACTCAGAAAAACAGGAATAGAGGAAAACGTCTTCAAACTGATAAAAAGTATCTACAGAAAAAATTACAGCTAATATTATACTTAAAGGTGTAATAGTAAATCCTTT